CTTATTATTCAAAAAGTGAATAATATTTTGACTTTAGTGGAGGAAGTCTAGAAGGCCATTAACTTCGAGACCTAAACAAACTTCCAAAGAACGCGACATCCAAATTAGAATGGAGAAAAATTCAAAAGTTAAACTTCACTCGAAAGAAATGCAAAAAATTCTTTCTCATTCTCGAACTGCAAGCATCTCTAAAATTCTAATGCCCCATCCCTGCGATACATAATTCTTATTATTCAAAAAGTGAATAATATTTTGACTTTAGTGGAGGAAGTCTAGAGACCTAAATAAGACCTAATTTCGAGACAAGCTTCCAAAGAACGCGACATCCACAAAGTGAATAATATTTCGACTTTAGTGGAGGAAGTCTAGAAGGCCATTAACTTCGAGACCTAAACAAGCTTCCAAAGAACGCGACATCCAAATTAGAATGGAGAAAAATTTGAAAGTTAAATTTCCACTCGAAAGAAATGCAAAAAAAAAATTCTTTCTCATTCTCGAACTGCCTCCCTAGAAAATCAAGTTGCCTCCCTGCGGGAATTTGGGTCCCACGTTGAGAATCTACTATCTAGTATCCAACTGTTAAATTCTAGTGCCTAACTAACCTAGTAGATTCGATCCATAAAATCCTTAAAGTCTTGCCGACACACATGCGACGTCCTTTGATTCGACCGCAGATTGTGGCTTCCTCTAGTTCGAAATCAAAGGTTTGCGGCTTATCTAACTTCTAACGCTCGAGTTTACCTTTTGTTCGCTCTCAGGCCGGATCGGAAATCATTTCGATTTTCCCGATCTGACGAGGGAATGAGAACGGCAAAGCTCGCGGACGTTCGGAGTCGAACTCGAAGGCTTCTCATAGAATTTCTATTAACGTTACGGAGATTAGAACCGTTGGAAGTCGATCAACGTAAACGTTCGTATTGATGTTCAGTTTTCAGGCGACGAGTCGCGCCGGCTTTTCACCAGCAGCGCCAAATTACCGGAGAACACGATGGAGAACAGGAATCCAAACTACGGTTCCGTGGTGTTCCAATTGAAAGACGCGAATCTCGAGGCTAACAACATCTGCGACTTCGTGTTCCGGGGGCTGAAGGTCGTCTGTAGAACAAGAGTGGTTACCGTTTGCCTGATGTGCTTGTCCACGGTCCCGGTTCTTATGCTGATTTACGGTGAGTGAAGAGAGTTTAATGGCTGCTTTCACGGTACATTCTCGCTGACACGAAAATCGCGCAATTTTCGTCGATGTGTTTCTAATTAAAAATGATAAATTAATTGATAATATCTGGTTATATTAACTGACTGATCGATCGATGTAATAACTGTTATTAATAATCCTCAAATTTTCAAAGAAGTGAACGCGTTTAACATCGGAACGTTCAATTCCGAGGTGAATTTTCACGTAGACCTGGAAGATTTCCAAATATCAAATAGAATAATAATAATGGCCCATTCCATCCGGTTGATTTATGAAATTGAATTATGAATTTATGATATTGAAAGTGAAATTTATGATAGTAAATCATTTTAATAAAAGTGAATCCATTTAACAGCTTTAACAGCGTTAACACTCTTCTACGTCGCGTTTATAGAGGCATGAACGTTTCGCTGATCAATTGACGATCGAATGGCGTTTCTATATCGCTCATACATTGATAACGAAGCATTTATTACTGATAACGTGTCGATAACGATGTAATGTACGCGATGGATAGCGAGAGGTTAATAAAATTACATTGGAAACATTGATTGAACAATTTTTGCTCGTAATATTAACATCTACATGTGTAACATATGAGATTTGTCCTCGCGGATCTTTAATAAATTTGTTACCTTAACAGACTGGAACCAAACGTCCACGACAGATCGTGTTCGTTTCTCATACAACATAGTTCGCATGATACATTTAATAATGCAGCATACGCGTATATTTATTATAAATAATGACTGTCCGATTCTTTTCAATCGAGTCAATGTTCGTTCGTTTATCTCGTAGCTAATTAAATTCTAAATTAATCTTCACACGTGTGTGAAATAGCATTAGCGAATAACTAGATATCGCTATTTATAAAACGACGAAACAACAATTGCATAATTTTGTAGACTTGTCAAGAAGCTGTGAAAAATACAACGCTGGACAGCAGTGCAACCTACGAAACAGAAAACCAGCGTTTCAGAAAGCTTCGTGTTCACGTCGAATCAATACTCGACTTACAAGCAGTTATCAATAAATTAGTCGCGAAACTCGGAGAGCTATCGCTACCCGTAACGTTATCACCAATCCGGATTTCCACATCCATTAATCTGAAAAGATTTCGCTTGGCTTCACTCTCTAATTTAGCCATAGTAGTTGCTGGAAATTTCACGTGAAATATCTTCGCTTGTGATCAACCAGAAAATTCGTGTTTTTGTTTCGCGACAGAAGTTAAGGGAAAAAAACGATCTCGCTACCAATTTTTCGAATCCTTCAATTTTCACGTCGAGAGTAAATCACAGGTTACGAGCCGATGGCGTGCACAAGCGATTTCTCTTTTCTGTAAAAACTTTCTAATTCATAGAGTGCCTTGGTTGAGGAACGAGACGTATCGTATCGTACAGCCGCGATTTGCATACGATTCGACGTTAATACGATGGAAATGCAGCGCGGTGATGAAGCAGCTTGTTAACTTCGGCGATGCTAATTCCACTCATAGGTCACGATTACCGTATAAACGCAATTCCGTGCGGTTCGATTTGATTCCACGATGAAAAATCATTTATGGCCCTAACCAATCAACTGCTACCGTTCAGCTATTAAAGAGCTATTAATTCAATTAATTCGTAACAGTTTGCCGACTCGACTCGATCAAGGGGAGACGCGAATATCAGATTTTCGAAGGTGAACAATAGAAACTCGGCCGGTTCGATTCGAATCTGGAGCAAAACGCGAGCAAAAGATGCAAATACCGGGCGACTCACGAAACGCGGTATTGCGCGATACGAGGCACGCTCTCGAGATACCGAGTCGAGACTCGGTGAAACGCGGGCATCGTTTCCAAGCTAATTGACCTCCTGCCTGCGTTTACGACACGCGAGCTACCGCGCCACTTACGTTACGTTACCACCACAACACGCGAAAAACGAGAGCACGCGCGAGTTTCCCCGGCATGGATTCGCGCAAGCCAGCCAGGACAGCGCGTTCACCTCTTCGTCCGCGTATAGAACTCGTCCCCCGAATCGATAAAGAGCCTACACGGTCGGTTCGTGGAAACGAGAGAATTACCAACGTTCAACGTTCAACATTCCGCACCGTGTGTGTATATGTATGTACTTGGGGGAAATTTATTGCCACGTCGCGACGCGATAACTGAAACCATCTGAAACCCTTTGCTTATCCGACGAGCATCTGCGCGATCGATTCCGAGTATTATCTCTTCTTTTTTTTTTTTTTTTTTTTTTCGATTGGCGGAGCAATTTTTATTCGGAGAACCGCGAGAATATTTTCGCTGAAATCCACCGAGATGGATGGTGAAATTACACAGATTAAGGGAGGAGTTTCTTTCTTTCTATCTCAAAAGAGATTAATTGCAGGGTGAATATTTTAACTCGTCTTGCGTTACGAGTATGATAGAATGCTTCCCTCGGCATAGATGCTTAACGCCAGACCGCTGCCAAACGAAAATGACCCGTTTCTTCGTTTTCTGCAATTACCGCGTGCACTCTGGGCGCAACGAATTAACGTTGAATTTTTATCTTTAGTTTCGATCGCGATTTAAAAATCGTGATTTCGCTCGTGATCATGCTTTCTCGCCTTTGTCGTGCCGCTTTAATCGCAATCGTTTAATTGTAATTATAATCGCTCGCTGATACTTGTGAAAGAGAGTTTTCGGTATTTTGGAATCTTGAACGCGGCGTGTCAAAGGATTTCAGGAAAGTTTCAGGCTTGATCGAAAGTCTGGTAAGTCGCTCGAGGAGCTCGCAGAATTCCCTTCGGAATTGAAGTAATCGTAGGTGAGGAAAGCGTGCAAGGGTTCGCATGTCACGTTACCCTTAGTCAAGTATCGAAATAGGACGTGACACAGTGAGTGGAAGTCAGGCAACGTCATTACCATTGCATTATTCAACGCCAGTCGGCGCTGAATAACTTTTTGACATCGATCCAACCGATGTGTTTGCTCGTAAATGACCGCGTAAGTGAAAACGCAGAAACAGAAACCGATTGAACGATCGAGCGTGGGAATTTGGCGTCTTCCTCTTAGGACGGCACGACTCGTCCTGGCTTTTGTTTCAGGCTTGAATTTCTCGAAAGACTGCCCGAGGGAGCCGAGAATACCGATGTACATGGTGATCGGCGGAACGTTTGGAAGCATGCTCATGGCGTTGCTTATCTACTCGCAGATACGCTCCAGGAGACCAGAAATGATCTCCGTCCCCTCGACCAGACCTCAAATCTCTTTCAAGAAATTGATCATCATCGTCTTATCGTGCTTCCTGTTGGGATGGTTCGTGATGGGTAAGTCGGCAGAAAACTCGAAACTCGAGGCCCTACGTGTATACACACGAAGGAGAAACGCCAAGATTCTTTATAACCGATACTGCTACCCGGATAACGTTTATCGCGAGAGAGAGAGAAAGAGAGATCGATCACGTGGCTCTGTTTAATCGTTCCCGTGTTTTAGTGCTTTTATCGCGAGTGCCGAGTAGCGTGCTTCGAATCTCCAATTACCACTATGCTCTAGTTATAACGCACGTATGAACAATTTTATTAATTCCCATGTGCATTG